CCATCCTGCTATTCGGCCATGGACCTGAGAGTTCCTTATCATATCGTGGACATTTCGTGCTCTCTCTATAACTCGGCACACACTTTTTCGATGTCAGGCATTCAGTCAGTCCCGAACTAGCGCACAGTTTTGATACTGACGCGATGGTCACAATCTATTATTTTTGCTCAGTTGAAAGACAATTAACAAAAGATCGAATCACTGTGCTTCGTCGGTCTTATAGCCGAGTTGTTAGTTTTTAAGCCATAGCCGTTTTCAGTAGCTTTTCGTGGCCCCTTTTTACCCTTTTACTAGTAATGTAGGTATGTGTTTTCTCGTCTGAGCGATATCCGTGTCGGTTTTTGTGGATGAATCGCCCTTTTGTACAAAAAGAACTTTATTTATAGATGTTCTTCGGCTTAACTTCTCATTGATTTACATAGGCATTTACATTTTTTTTTTATAGAAAACATCACGTCATTTCCAGGTTGTATTTCATGCTGACATGCACATGTACACGGAACATAACAATCATCAACAAATCATAAACAGCAGCGAGCCATTCCTTATTCATCGGCCATCGTGCAAAAAGCTCATAACAAGGAATGTACATTTAAAATTAGAAATTTCAGCAAACACTCTGCTCTCCCGTGAAAGCTGCACGATAAAGATCGCCTAAGTAGCAACATATACAGTTAATGTATCGGAAATGGCATCTTGATTGGTTTGGGCCTTTGGGACAAGATTGCAAACATCGGTTTCAGCACATCGGTCGCCACAATGGTAATCTGGTGCCGCCCACGGCTTGGGTTCGGCTCAGTGAGAGGCGTTCTATTCTATTTCAGTAACGATAAGCCTCAGTAACGATCAAGCGAGCGTTGCACTCTGCATTGCGGCAGCGCTCAGGACGTTATTGTACACAATCGGCACCGCTGCAGCCACTCAATCACCTCATGTCCAGTGCTACCGGGGTTCCGAGAAATGGGTAGGCCGCCATCTGTGCGCCGGTCGCGTCAGACAGTAGTTCATGAACCCGCCGCCAGGTGACCACGGATGGCTCGGCCGTCTGCCAGGCTGTGAAGCCGCTGGTGGGTTTTTGTGGTTTCAGCAGCTCAGGTGAGCCGCGCAGACCCATCAGTCGCTGATGCTGCAGCCCGACCAGCGGAGCCTCTGCGTGGGGAGGGCCGGGGGCGATCGTCCGCGGAGGGGACGGCGAGGAGCTGGCGCGCGAGCGGCACAGTCGGCCGACCACCGACTGACAGTGGGCGGGCGGGGGTGTGCTACACTGTACCACCGACACGGGGTGACAGTGGCCGACAGAGATAGCTGGGTGTGCCGCTGGGACGCCGGGCGGTGGGGACGTTGAACTGCCGACTTCCGAGTCGTCGTTGATAATAAGACGGTGGGGTGAGGCCGGCGAGCGTGACCGGGAGCTGCTGATGATCAGACGGCACGATTGCTGCGGCGGCGGTGAACGAGAACACCGGGTGGTCACCAGCGACAGTGGCATGTCTTCTGTCTCTGCCGACGAGTGGACAGTACGGAACGGCACGCTGTCGTCTCTCCCGTATCGCCCGTCCCTCTCCTGGAACCTGTCGGTCCTCTGTTCTGTGTCGTCTCTTTTCCTCAGGTCGGCTGGACCCAGTCGTAGGTCTGTCGGCCTCTCCCAGTGGCTAGGAGCAGGAGTCACCTCTTTCTCACAGCGCTCGACACGCAGGCCGTTTAAACTGGCCGCCGTCTCGCGCATGAACGCGAGCGCCGAGGCCAGTCGCTGTCGCCGAACACTCTCTGCGTCTTGCCCCATTTTGTACACATCTCGCCTTTCGAAGTCGATGTTGCCTAATCCAGCGCGTAGCAGAGCCTCGGGAATAACTCTGACAAATGCCGATCCGGGCAGTCTCTTTGCAAGTGATAGATCTTCCTCAGCTTTTCGTTTGACACCAGAAGTCGCGTCTCTGGAAACGTTTCTCACTGACAGATCGGTTGGAAGGTCGAGCTGTTGACTGCTGACCTCGTTTTCAGCTGAGCAAGCTGTCCGTTGGCTGGACACGCTCTCATTAGTCCGGCTGTCCTTCCGAGCTGCGGTTCTCGGCAGCACGGAGCCCGGCGAAATCACGGTTTGCTGCTGCTCGAAGCCCGGGGACAGAGATGGTCGTACCTGCGCACGATCCGGGGACAGCGCGCTCAGCGGCAGCAGCTCGGGCAGCTGTCTCCGCTGTGCCTTTCCCTGATCGGCGAGCGGCACCAGGGTGGGAGGCGGACGCCGACCGGTACTGGAGGCACTGCCGAGTGGGGAGGAGGCTGAGCGGGAACCTGCCGTGGCCGGGCTGAGCTGTGGATGGTCTGGACTCAGCTGGGTTTGCCCGGGACTCAGCTGGGTCTGTCCCGGACTCAGCTGGGTCTGTCCGGGACTCAGTTGGGTCTGTCCTGGACTCAGCTGAGTCTGTCCTGGACTCAGTTGAGTCTGCCCTGGACTGTGTCGGTCTCCTGCCGGCAGCTTGTTGAGCTGACTGAGCTCCTGCTCACGCAGCAGCCGCTCTCGGCGACAGCGTTCCTCCCACGGCGCGTTGAAGCGCTCCAGCTCCTCACGCGAGCCGGCGCTGAGCACCCCTCGCAGCGTATCGTAGTGGCGGCAGCGCGCGCGGGGCAGCTCGCCGCGCTCCACCTTTCGGTAGAGGCAGACCATGTTGTGCAGCTTGGCGCGGCACTGGTGCGCCGTCCGGTAGAAGCCGCGCTCCAGCAGCTCCTCGGCGAGTCGCTCCCAGATGGCCAGGTTGCGACCCGAGCTGCGGAACATCTGCTGTGTCTCGGTGCGCCGCCAGAGCGCCATCAGCTCGGCCGTCTCCAGACTGGTCCACATCACGGCTCCCTCGATCATGGTGGCGGCTGGTGCGGGTCACAGGTCACAGAAAACGTCGTGCCGGCCACCGCCGGTGGCTGCAGCGGGGAAGATTTGCGTACCACCGTCCGTTCACTGTCCTCTGATTCACCAAATGTCTCACACACAACACGCTCTGCTGAACTGCCGCACGTTAGTCACACTACTTCATCAGTCTCGTTATGACCCGGCTGCTCTCTCGTACCGTCCTCTCTCGTTCGGTCCGCGTGCCTCACTGGTTCCTCTCTCGTGTCGCACTCGTGTCTCGGCGAGCGGCGTCGCGCGGCGCGTCCGCCCGGGCCTGACTCAGAGCCCTGTCTGCCGCTGCCGCCGGCGACTCGCCGCTGCCGAGCGGCCCCCGTGCGGGCCAGTGAGCCAGCGGCCCGCCCGACCGGCCCGACGGGCGTAACGCAGTCCTACCGCAATGCGGCGTAATTCCACTGTATAGTGGGGAGAGGGGGGGGCTCTTAGACACCCCTGCGCGCGTGCGGCTATGCGCCGGCTTCACTAAGCGGTCTTGTCCAGATTTCGGCGGTTTCACAAGGACTGACAGCGGTGCGTGGGGGAAGGGTGCCAGTCGGAGGTAGTGTGTAATCTTTGCTATCGATGACGCAGTTCAAACTGTCGGTGCACCTGGCTGGGAAGCGATGGCTCACACCGACAGACCAGTTTAAAGTGATATTACTCGGTTCGCACGCCGACTTTCACACCCACTCCCCATCCCCATAGCGGAAGTCGTTGAACTCATTGTAAAGCGTTCAGTCTTGACGTTATCGCTAAGCGAGTTGGACGTTTCCTGCTGTCAAATGATATCTCTTGCGCAACGTCGGATACCTTTCTCTCATATCCCGTTTCTTCATTGACTTTCTGAAATGTCAATAGTAGCATCGGCATCTTTTATGGTTTGCCAGGGCCTTTAAAGGGACTATCCCACCTTTAACATGGGGTTTGAGTTGAGATAGCCAAGTTTGCGGCGAGGTTCAGAAACCACTATCTATCTAGGTTGCAATCCCCGCGGCCTCTTGGTGTTGAAGAAATTCGTTCCCTTCATTTGAAAATGGGCCTTGTACAAGGCCCTATCTTCAACATGGAGCGACCGTTAGTGTGACGTCACCTCGTTTAGTCATTCTGATTTAAACGGGGTTGTTCGTTGAAAAATCGCTTAAAACTTGGTCTGAACTTTGTTGTGGTGCCTACAGAGTAAAAAGAATCAGCTTTATGACAGTAATGTGGCCTGGGAAAGGAGGTAATTTTGGGCTGTGACGTCACATATTTGAAAGTTTGTGTTTGGAATATGGGAAGCCTAAGATGTTTAATGAAAAATAAATGCCAGAACCGTGTTCCTGGTCATCCAATCTATAAAGTCGGGCACAATTTAACTGGTTTTAACAACATTTTAGAAGGTTGGATAGTCCCTTTAACATTTTGTGATTTTCCGGCGGTGTTCCGCCGTGTCGTAATATACAGTTTGATGTGATTGCCTATAAGTAAGTCTGATCTTTTCATAACATCCGTCCCACTCGCTCGCTGACAACTGTTCGGCCTACATCGGCTTATTATTCATTACAGACTGCTCAATATATGATCCGCTTGACCAGTGTGGCATTTGAGCTTTGTCGTGGCTAAAAGGTAATACCATCCTGCTGAACCTTCCTTCCGGCTTTTTTTCCTCTCGAGATGCTTTACCCAGAGCTGCCATTTTTTATCGTATCTATTAAATCCTGATGTGATGTCTGCATCACCCGCCCCTGGTGACCTTTTCCACTTATTCGCCTTACTGTTGCACGCTCTCCTTGGACCTTGTAGAGCACTCACTCTGACCACCGTTTGGCACCTTAACGCCGGACTGGTGACCTCTGCCGTCGGATTCGGATGGTCAATGGAGTCGTCTGACCCTGGCCAATCGCTAGATAAATGACCTGCCTTCTGGCGTTATTGGTGACCCATGTCCTATCACTGACCTGCTGACCTGTCGTCTGGCCTCTACCTCCTGTTGTCTAACCGCTGACCTTTATCGTCTGACCTCTCACTTGTATCGTATTGCCGCTGACCTGCCGTCTAACTCTAACCCCTGCCGTCGAACCCTACTCCCTACTTTCTAACCGCTGACTCACGTCTGACCGCTGACCTCCCTCTCCCTCAGACGTCCACCATCGGCTTGGTCACGCTGGACGAGATGAAGGCCCGTCAGGAGAAGGTGGTCCAGGAGAGGGAGCAGGAGCTGGCCAAAAAACAGCGCGAGGCAGAGCGCGAGCGACAGAAGGCCATCGACGCCAAACAGGCCAAAAAGGACCGGCAAAAGAAACAGGTGAGTCTGTACGACCGGTGAATAGATTGTGGCATAGATAACAGTAGAACAGTTCTACTTTCTACTGTTCTTTCTACTTTTCTACTTTTCCAGTTCTACTGTTATCTATGATTGTGGTTACGTCATATGACGCATTTTCATTGCTTTTGGTGTGGTCTTTGTCAGTTATTGCGTCTTTTACAACCTTTTCATATCTTTCCATCATGCAACTTGCTCGTTTATCTTTTGCACTGTATGATTTGGAAAGACAGGCATGTCTTAGGTCCTGTCGATTAACGATCTAATGGTGATGGCTGGGGTAGATCGCCACGACTCTGCTGATCCCAGCTTCTGTGTGCCGCCAGATTCAGAGTTTGTCCTTCAACCCTGACGAGGACGAAGAGGATGAGGAAGGGGAAGAGGACGAGGACAAGTCCGACGGAGACCGTCCAGCGGTGAAGGCCGCTGAGGACGCGGCGGACGAGTCCTCGCAGTCCTCCGAACCGTCCTCCGAACCGTCCTCCTCCAACGCTCTGGTGCCGGCCAAATCGTCCTCACAGGCGCCAAAACTAATACCCAGAAAACTGGGTAAAAACCCTGACGTGGACACGTCATTTCTGCGCGATCGTGAGCGAGAAGAGCACGAGAATGAACTCCGCGAGCAGCTGCGACTCGAGTGGGAGCAGAAGCAGGAGGCGCTCAAGAACGAGGAAATCGAGATCACCTTCTCCTACTGGGACGGCTCAGGTCACCGGCGCAGCCTGCGCATGAAGAAAGGTCAGTCGCGGGCGTCACGAGGGCTAGAGGTTCTTTGGTGTTTTTTTTTTTTTTTTTTTTTTTTTGGTCAGTTATGCGTAATTGTGTGACATACCGCGGGTATGTGGCGTATATCGTTGATTGCTGTTTGGGCTGCGATGGTGGTTGCGCTCTAGGCATATCAGACCACAAACTCCTAATTCATTAGCATCTTCGTAGAAATTGCTGCTCATTTCCTGGTGTGCATTCCGTTTAGGCAGCTGTGAAGTCAATTTGTGCGAAGTCATCCTACATCGCACCCTCTGTCTTGCCCTGCCCAAGTAACGGAAATATTCGTCTCTAAGACCTCATCCTGTGCGTTTGATCCCATTAATCTTCTTTCTCTAGAACTGAGTTATGTCGGCGCTCCGCGTCATCTCATCAAGGTGTCCAGTTTTCAGTTAAACCGTGCATAAAATTCTATCCAAGACAGACGTAAAGTAGCAGTGTGCGCGGAGTTCCTCCGATTTGGGTGTGTTTCTGGTATCTTGCGTTTGCGACTTTTCAGCTTTCATTCGTCTACTAGTTATGGGGTTCTGTCAACTTTGCTGCAACTTCCAAATGAGAATGAGATAGGGAGCGACATGGCATAATACATTTCATCATCGGGGAAAGTTTAGCATGGCACGAGCGAGGTTTTAGGATTAGAACATCAGAAATTTGGTAATTTGACAAAAGAGGTTTTCTTCCTGTTTGCGGATTCATCTTTTATTATCAGTTTCCGCCAGGTGAACGTCTGTATTTTTATATAGAGTGACTCTGCCGATTATAATCAGCGGCTTTGCAGCAGTGACCATGGGTTACATAATAGCTGGCACCGCTTCCTTCTCAATACAGTAATTTTGTCATTAGATTTAACCGTCCGTCGGAAACCTGTTAGATACTGATTGGATTCCCCGAACACAAAGCTCAAATATGATTCGCCAGTGCTGCTGATTCACGGTATAGATTACGAGCCAAGATGTAATGTAAAGGGTATGCTGGTTCTTTATAATAACATGCTCTCAGATTTATGCTGCCAATTTTTTCTCCGAATTTCCAGTCAGCTCGCCTATACCGCTGAAAGTGTACTGGTTTATTTTGTAATTATTCTTGACGATATTTAATTTTGATAAATAATGGCAGGCAATTCTTTTTGTGGCGGCTAATGGTGGCTGCCTGGCGCGCAATGTCTTTCTGCTCAGACCGGACATTACATAAGTGTCCGCCGGCGGTCGCCACAGGAGCAGTGTTTGTTTGCACCGGCTCCGCCCTAATCCCTGCGGTAATCGCTTCGACGACTCGCCAGCATTGGGCAAAAATGACCCCACATGGTCGCTCTCCCAATGCAATCCCGGCCCACTCTTCGGCAACACAGCCGAATCATTATGACAACGGCAAGTGTGAATGACTAGGCAGATTCGAGCTGAGATATGAGCCCTAGTTCACGCGCCAGGAGGGAAGGGCTGCCAGGTAACAGTCTGGGCACGAGCTGACATCAGAGAGGGAGGCAATATCGGACTGGTTTGGGCGAGTGCCGTCGTTTTCAAACCCATCGGGAATGACTAATTTTACATCGGCTGCAATAGACCGATCGGGGAGTTTTAAGGCTTCAATGAAATAACGTAAGTGCGGTTAATCTCTCTTGACTAATCCTACTGGTTGTCACCGCGAAGGAAAGATCCGCTGATGAAATATGCGAAGGTTTCGCCCATTATTTGTCGCTGTTTTTCTTTATGGATTGGTATATCTTGGTATTATCAAAGTGCTCATCTACATATTGGTGGTGTACCTATGTGGGTATATGGTCACGAATTCTCAGAAAACCAGGATTTAGTTTGAGGTATCTTGTCATCTTCCACATGATTAATTAATAATTCATGGTCGGTGACGTTAGTTTGATCGATGTTGATCAGATCGGCCATAGGGTGCGAAAGGCTGATATATCAGTAGGTGGAACTATGGTCATGAGTACCCAAATAAAGGAACGTTCCCATTTTTGGGAACGGAGTTCCCAAATATGGGAACGGGCGTTCCCATTTATGAGAATGGAAGGCAATTTTTCGGCCGTTCGTCCACGAAAACTCAAAAGTGCACCACGTCTCAAAAAAGTGCACGCTTATTTAAGTATCTACTAAGTCTCTATAAAATTATCTTTAATCTGACCGTTGAACAAGGAAATTGACCGTCGAATGATATTTTTAATGATTATTTGAAATGACGGAATGGTGAAAACATGGGTTATACTACATTTAACATGCAATTTTAAGGAAAATGAAGCGTTTTTACATTTTGAGGTCAAGTATAATAATTTTCGCCTGGTTATGAAGTTTCATACTAGCGACACCAGATGCTGACATATGCAAGCGAACACGCGGACAGTCCCGAGGCAATATTGTTGACTTTTGGTGTCGGGGCGCACGACCGCGTGGAACGTCAGTGATTTTACCGAACTACTGTTGTAAACTCAGTTTCAGTGGTTTAAAATTATTCAGCTGTATTTAATCAGCCCGGAAAGACATATTTTATTTGGATGCTAACTGTGCTAGCTGTTTAGCGTTGTTTTATAAGGAGCGTCATGAGCGTGGTTTTTGTCTTCCGTGTTTCTAAGCATGATCGTTTTGGGGGAATTTCTCTTATATAGGTCGCTCTGTGTGGCTTATTTATAATTTTTATGCTGATTTCGATCATTCCTCGTGCCCATCCTACCAGGCCTTTTGCCACTTACACTCACTAAGAAAGGAAAAAATTAGATTTTCATTGGGACTAGGTGTTTTGAGGGTGTAACATATTCAGCGTTCCCATTTTTGGATACTTCCTTGTGCTCGTCAACTATCGGTGATAAACAGACAGGTGCTTGACATGTCTCCACCCTCGGCGCGGACGGTGGATATAGGTATGGAAGACCTTGTTGAACATCGCTGAGCGTTGTGAATTACGTAATCCTGCAGAGGGGGGCGTGCCCGCTGCGAGATCAACGGGAATAAAAGCGCAGAAGACCGGGCGAAACATGCGACGGTCTTGCCTGATGATTGTTGTGTTAACAATGATTTGCGGCGTTGGACGTGATGCTTGTTAACCCGCGCCCCACTGGGGTCTGTGTATAACACGCCCTACTGGGGGGGGGGGGCTATTCATAGCCCCCCCTCCTTACTCCGAAACTACTAGGCCGATCGTCGAAATTCAAACGGCGTCTGATAGCCCCGGAAAAACTGTCGAGCGAAACCTAATTTCATTGACCACGAGGTCACCGATGACGTCACAGGTCAGTTCAAAGTAAAAATTATTAGCATTTTGGCTTGTTCACATTTTGGGCTCTGGCCGCCGTCTTACAAGTCAGATCAGGCTCATTTTTGGTTTCCACACTCGTGAACAGATGCTCTAGATACCTTGAGGGTACCAAACTTGTACTTTGATTTTCAGGTCAGGGTCAGGTCATCACAGGTCACGAAAATATTATATCATGTGTCGGTCAGGTGACACATGTTTTATGGTCCATTTAGGCCGTGGATTTCGAATTTGATGTCGTCTGTGTCATTCGAGGTCATTTTGAGTCGAATTTAGCTTAGGTCAGGTCACTTTCAGGTCAAAAAAGGTCAAATTTTGAAGTTAAAATTTTTCAACAAAAAAAGGTGTCTATTGGATGCAGTTTTAGCTCAGGAACACGATGGTGCCATTTATATTGGTGTACGATGTCAAATACGTACTGAAAAATTGATTTGAAAAATTAATAATTGTGAATTTTTTGCAATAATGCGTATAACTTGGCCATTTTTGAAGATATTTAGCTAAAACTTGCTAGAGTTAGTCATAATCATGCGTTCTGTCACATATATTCCGGTTTTTTTCGAAAAGTCACAAACTTTTTGAAAAAATGTACCTAAAAATATAAATTTTGAATATTATATAAAATTTTCAAAATTTTCGAAACTTTGAAAATCCGAGATAGCAGTTTGATAGCGCGGTCAATTCTGAGTCCTTTCATGCAAAGAAATTGGATCTAGCTTAAAAACTGAGCTCTTGGGAGCGATTGCCGTGGTTCAATGTTTTGCGTCGAAATCGGATGAACATGACGTCACTCTGACGTCATTTCCGGCCGACCTATGGTAGCTACGAAGTTCAAATTTTGACACAAGGTGTCAAATTGATGCAGCCGAAGGTACTGAAAGTTTGGCGTTGATCCGTCAAGCGGTTTGGAAGTTATTGCAGAAAAACGGGAGGGGGGGGGCTATAAATAGCCCCCCCCCCAGTGGGGCGCGGGTTAATGAAAAGAGCCCCTGAAAGGCGTCGGTGAAATCGTTCCCAATATTGGGTACGCCGTTCCCATAATAAGGAACGCTTGCAGCGCCAGTGTACGAGAGCGTTCCCAAATTTGGGCTCGCGGCCCGGATGATGGACTGCTTTAGAAATAGGGGAACGATTTGAAAATACGATGGGCCTTACAATATTTAACTCTTTCCAACAATATTGAGACAAATATCAGGCGGTTCACGATCGTTTTATATTTTTTGGACGTCATTTAGCGGTTCTTTTTCTTGTTTTAAATAATGCCTACATGGCGTTCCCATATTTGGGTTTATCGTTCCCAAACATGGGAACGAAAATGCGTTCCCGAAAATGGGTACGCTTGACCATAGTTCCGCCTACTGATATCTGTCCTGAAATTCTCACTATGCTCGATTCCACTAGACGTGATGTTTCTCGGAATCGAAGAAGAGTATGTGTGAATGAATACAATTTCTGCCCCTCCCGTTTATCCAGACGGCGGTCTGGGCTGGCCTCAGAATCATCCTGTCTCTCGGGCCGCATGCATCAATCGTGCCGGGAATCTCCGCTGCTAAATGACGGCTGCGCATTGCACGCTGCACACACTGCACAGGCTCGGTGTTGTTTATTGACGTGCATCTGTTACCCGATGGACCCGTCTGTGAGGTGTGCACGGTGCACGTGACCGTGACACAGTTCAGCTGACGCCCGGGTCCATCGTCAGGACACGATACTCTCAGCGCCCCTTACAGACCGGGTCCGCGTCGCAATCGGAAAACAAACGATCCTGCAAGAGGCCCGGCCTCGACCTGATTTTATTCTGGGGCTTCGGTGGTAGCGTCGCAGATGACCTTGACTGATAGAGAATATGCACGGACTCAGACCAGACGGGCTGCTGGGTACGACGTACATATTTACGACGCCTTGTTATACAGACTCGACTAGCATTGATCGTGCCTAATCCGTGTCTGCTGTGTCCTCCCGTGCCGAGACCCCTTTCGGCGCAACACGGAAAACATGATTGTGGGGAACCCCGACTCGGAGCATGGATATCCATTAGTTTCGAATCTTTATTTTTTCCTTTGTGCTTAATCGATCTATCAGATGCAGGACCGGAAGATAGGTAGGGTGTCCAAGCAGTTAAATCGATCAAATTTGTCACCTCTTGGTGCCTGTTAAACAGCATAAGTTATCAGTTATCAGAAATCGATCAAAAAAGTTGCATGATTTGACAAACCCCATCGGCTCATTCGTTTTCCTGGGTTAGAGCTATATCGATACTCGCCGTAAGTTCAGCACTCGCTACTGTTCAGTTTGGGTGAGATTGACCATTCTTCAAGCACAGCGGAACGGATAGGAAATACCAGTCGGTAGGTGGCCGCATAGCGTGATTACCTAAGGATTAATTTTTCTCGGCGCTTAGATGATCCCAGACAGGTTTGATAAGTTCCGGATTTTCCTGATTATTTGACTGGAAGTTACATAAAAGCCGGGCCTCCTAAAATAAGTTGTCTTAACTGTGAAAAAGCTGGTCTTGCAAGATTGTTGCATGTTTATTGTACCTACATGTTTAAAGGTATTTGATTGATTTACTTGGTATTCTGTATACCGACGGATAAGAAGGTTTTAGCGTGAAATTGAAACTCGAAATATTTACCCTACCTCCCATATATTCCTCCCATAAAATGTACCTCCCATAAAATAAGTTGTCTAAACTGTGAAAAAGCTGGTCTTGCAAGATTGTTGCATGTTTATTGTACCTACATGTTTAAAGGGACTATCCCACCTTTAACATGGGGTTTGAGTTGAGATAGCCAAGTTTGCGGCGAGGTTCAGAAACTACTATCTATCTAGGTTGCAACCCCCGCGGCCTCTTGGTGTTGAAGAAATTCGTTCCCTTCATTTGAAAATGGGCCTTGTGCAAGGCCCTATCTTCAACATGGAGCGACCGTTAGTGTGACGTCACCTCGTTTAGTCATCCTGATTTAAATGGGTTTGTTCGTTGAAAAATCGCTTAAAACTTGGTCTGAACTTTGTTGTGGTGCCTACAGAGTAAAAAGAATCAGTTTTATGACAGTAATGTGGCCTGGGGAAGGAGGTAATTTTGGGCTGTGATGTCACATATTTGAAAGTTTGTGTTTGGAATATGGGAAGCCTAAGATGTTTAATGAAAAATAAATGCCAGAACCGTGTTCATGGTCATCCAATCTATAAAGTCGGGCACAATTTAACTGGTTTTGACAACATTTTAGAGGGTGGGATAGTCCCTTTAATGGTATTTGATTGATTTACTTGGTATTCTGTATACCGACGGATAAGAAGGTTTTAGCGTGAAAATGAAACTCGAAATATTTACCCTACCTCCCATATATTCATCGCGACTATAAGTGCTCACTGCTCTCATTCCATCAGGAGCTCGGCTATGTAGGTGCAATATATGCCTAATCTAAAGGCTTCACCCGCTCATCTAAACTAAAAAGCATTTCATCACCACTCATACTTTGACCAGCTTAAAAAACAAAAGTGCAAAGGGTCTATTTCGTAGCTAGTTAAGTAATAGTAGTTAAGTAGTTAAGTATTAAGTAATGCGGCTTATGCTATATTGAAATGTTTCCTCATTGGATGCGTCGGGATCACGTTTTTCTTGGAATTGAGTGGTACCTTTCGTTGGCATGTGACATTTATGAGCGTTCAGACATTTAGGGCCGTGTGGCTAAGAAATTTACAGCATGAATCTGAAATGAGACTTGTTAGCTTTAAGCCTGTGCGTCCATGTTCAGAATTTCTGCGTCCATTCCAGGTGTTAGTACAAGTTGATTACCGTAATGTGGGGCTATTTGAGACAGTGAGGCTATTTGAGACAGTATTTAAAATTGTTATAAAATAAAAACCGTTTGAAATTTATGCTTAATTTTTGCACAGGCGATTTACTGCTCGATTCCACATCTCCCTGAGCAAAAATATCACAAAAAATCAAACGATCTTCATTTTATAGCGACTTTAAATACTGTCTCAAATACCCTCACTGTCTCAAATAGCCTTTACGGTACCTACTTTACGTTTGAGGCTTGAGCGCATTGCATGATTAAAGCATGAATATACATATTCCTAATCAATTTTGCTTTTCTCTGTGCAATATTCAGTATTTGTGTCGAATCGGATAACTGCACTAAAATTTGTAGGCATAGACACAATATTATACAAACATATCTGCCTTTGCAGCTTACTTTTCTTTAGCGACCACGCGGTGTTTGCGGCATTGCGGTGAACAGGGGATGCCAGGGCTAGAGTCATCTGTACGTCTCTTCATTTGAGGCCTCTTCCTGGAAACGGAGGTGGGCCTTTCCGCCTCCCCTGTCAGCACTCGGTAAACTAAGAACACAGACTTTCTCATTGAGTTCACTGGGTTCGTCGGACTGAGAGGAGCGTTTTTAGTGTTACCTGTTCCATGTTGTTCCCACAGCCAGTTCACTCAGCTCCGGCCTGTCCTCACCTACTGTGGAAGTAGTTTCAAACCCACTTTCTCCATTTATGGCAACGCCTCGCAGAATCGCTGATCCCTTTCTAAAGACCGTCCACAACCAGCCACCTAGGAAATGGGGAAATTGAGAAGACTGAGCGGACCGCCCAGAGTCGAGCGGCTTAACGAGTCCGGACGCCGGGAGTCCGGAGCGGATAGTGTGAACAACCTGCTTCGTTCGGAGTCACCGACCTCTGACAATCCGGTCTCTGGAGCAGACGGCGGCGCCGCTCCTGTGAAAACCGTGCGACGTGCGGTGTACGAACAGACGAACCGACACCTGCCGGGCCACGCGCCGCGGACTCTCAGTTGATAAGTGTCGTCCCCGTCTCCTTCCCCTTCCGCGATGCTAGCTCGAAGGACAGCTCAGCTGAGACATTCAGGCATATCAGATGTTCGGAGAAACAGGGACACGTCTGTCCGCCGTGGACAGGGTGCCGCGGTGTGATACGACCCAGCTGCTCTCCCCGGCCCCGGAAAGGCTACCACCGACCCAGTGACCGAAGCGAGGAGCCGGCAGTGACCTTGGCCGCCGTCGGGACGTTCTCTCCCCGGCCTGCCATCATGATAAAACTCAATGACGGAATGTTCGTCTCATTACTCTGTAGCCGAAAATAGCCGGCGAGTTCCGCGCGTCGCTTGCAAATGATCGAGGTCACTTAGAGGGCTTTGTTACAATTCGCAGAAGTGTTACGTGCGTGTGCTAATCCCCCCCTGAGTGTTCAATGTGATTGGCGCTCCCACTGGTGCCTCAGTGTCCGCTCCCAGCAGGGCGGTGCGTCTGCAGACCCACCTGACGGGTTAGAAGGGGGTGTGGGGGATTCAAACTCCGCTAATTGGCCGCTCGGACCGGGCGCGGCCGCTGTGAACCACCCGCTGCTGCTGTGAGCGGCCCGCTGCCACTACTGGCAGAATGGAGGAATGGTGGAATGTTACCTTAGCGGTCTCCCTCACCGGTGCAGCTGATGGTATAGGTCGCTGCCGGTGTGGCTGATGGCCATAGCGGTACGGACGTGGACCTTTTATAGCTTGTTTGGCTGATAGGTGACCCTGACCACCAATCGGTTGACGAATCTAGTGGATGAGAATGGGGAGGAATCTATCAGCCGGCATCGCCGCCGCAAATGGGGTTGTTAATCATCACTGAGACATAATTTTATCGTTTTACTGTTATAGCCTGTCGCGCCTATGTGTCACAAATGATCAGTGAACAACGTTTGTGTGCATGGCCGTGCATACATACGAGCTATATTTGTTTGATAGCCCATGGTCAATGTGTGATATCGCTGTTTTATTCGCAGGTAACTCCATCTACCAGTTCCTGTCGCGATGTCTGGAGATGCTGCGTAAGGAGTTTACGGAGCTGCGAGCTGTGTCCGGCGACCAGCTGATGTACGTCAAGGAGGACCTCATCATCCCGCACCACTACACCTTCTACGACTTTATCGTGACCAAGGTGAGACCCTCGACCGCTGACCCTCCACCACTGTCGAAGCTCGGTGCTCTCTTCGCTCTTCGACCCTCGACCGCTCACCCTCGACCGCTGTCCCTCGACCGCTGACCCCCGACCGCTGGCCCTTAACCTCCGGCCTCTCGTCGATCGTCGCTTTTTCTTTGTTGGTGATTCCCGTCATTTTGTTTCTGATAATTTGATTATTCCCGTCATTTTGTTTCTGATAATTTGATTAAGTTGCTTATTGCTGTTTAGAGGTTTATGGAACAGCACGCTAAATTTATTACTGGGTTATATCGTGCGCAGTTGATCTCTTCTTCCGTATTTTCCAAAGTTCAAGACATATGTTTTTCATTTTTATTCTTCCTTATTTCCGGGCTTAAACAGCCGTCAATACTTCCAGGCATTAGGCTTACTAATTTGATAATGGAACGTCTTGGGAACGCTGCGCTTGCAAGATTTCACTCTACGATTCTAGTTGGGGCAGTGATTTTGATTACACATTGAGCCATTTTGTCACCGGGTTCTGTGAGCCACCTTTTGCAGCGGTAGTTAGTGCAACAGGTGGCGCCGTGATTGCACATTGCAGAGAACACTAGTTAGGCAAACAGCCACCAGAGGGAAAACTTGCACGGCTGCTATCTTATTGCTGAGGGTACCGTTACAAGCCTATCGCTGATGATGATTTATTTGCTTTGTTGGAAAATAATCCATGCCGCCGCCCTGCCCTTTTGTGGTTGTCAGGTATAAAGGCTTCACTAATTGAACACAAATACAATAACCCACCATGTCTGGACCGTTAATTCCGCTCTCACATTCTCTTTTGGTCTCCTCAGGCTCGCGGCAAGTCGGGGCCGCTGTTCAACTTTGACGTCCACGACGACATCCGAATGCTGGCCGATTCGCGGGTGGAAAAAGACGAATCCCACGCAGGAAAAGTGCTGATGCGCTCCTGGTACGAGCGTAACAAGCACATCTTCCCGGCGAGTCGATGGGAGCCGTTCGACCCCACCAAAACGTACGATAAGTACAGCATCCATGATCGCAAGAAGAGCAAAGGCAAGTGATCTGCGTCAACAGCGCGGAAGACTGGTGAATCGTGTGCTTAGACTGTGAAAGATGCCAAGGGCTCGGGCGTGTTTACGGAAGGCTACGTCTCATAATTGTGGTACTTACCTACATTCGATAAAATTTATTCCTTTATGACTTATTAAGTGTATAAACAAACAATGTTTCTCATGATGGCTTATCTTTCAAACACGGAAATTATTTCACATTCTGTGCTGCATTCGTGAATTTTGATCTTTCATGAATAATGGCGAAGCTTCTCGGCATAATTTGGCCGCCGTCTGAGCTCCCATCTGTTGTTCTGGCGGGCGTTCGGTGGGCGTTGTAATGCACTGGCTGGATTACCTCCCCCTGCTCGGCGCCACGGATCCTGGGCTCTGCGGCCGACCTGTGACGTCAGCCAGCCCCGGCACGAGCGTCCGCTGATAGCGGTGTTTGGGCGCGTCGATTTGCCGCCCGCAGCAGTGTGGGTGGGACGAGGGTCGGACTATCTTCCGCGTGGAATACCTGTGTCTCGTTCCAGACGTTCATTGTACAAACCATTTGTGTGGTGGCTATTGCATCGTGTTTATAATCAACGAGTGTTCTGTCTGCCCTTGTTCTTTGATGCTCGTGTAAATAAACGACCGAGAACTGTAACGACTATCCCTCCGTCGAGCTTCTCTCTATTCATTTTCAGTCAACGGAATGGTCTGCTCCAACGTCTGAGAGCAATGTAATTCCGGGTTTTCCGCGACGTCTGGATCGTGTGACACGAAGACAAATTGTGTCCCACCTGGCGGCGCACCGCTTCTAGGACGCCGCTCGGCCGACCGAGTTTGCCAACGCGGCGGTGTTCACTGACGCCAGAACCGCCAACTTGTCCCCCGACACGACTCTGTACGCCCTCGGATCCGCCGAGCGAGACGCCAACTCCCCGCGTGACCGAGTCCATTCCGAGCCCACGCCGGCTGGAGTCGGCGAACTTGTCTGACGGCGCGCGGCGCGCTCCCAGAAGCGGCGGCCGCCGGTGCGTGGTGGCAGTTATTTACGGTGGACAGAGTTGGGCGGACGCTTGCCGGCGGGATGACGCGTTTCAAGCGCCGCCCGGGGCCGGAGTTGTCGAGAGTCTGTCATGCCCCGTCCACGCGGGCGAGACATGCCATCAGCCCGTGGGGACAGGCAAGGGCCAGATCATGCCATGATCACGCCTTCTAAGAACGGCTAAGGGAGACGAAAGTAGCTTTCCTCGCTCGTCCACCCGTGGGTAGCTTTGATGGTGCTCATTAGCTACCGGAAGTATGTTTCTGCTGCCTCTTTTATCCACGGGGGGCTCTGCATGTTGCTTTTACTTTCTCTAATTAGGCTCTGAATCCAAACGCTGATATTTTCTGAGGATAATGATATCGCTCATCTCGCCTTTCTACGGCGCTTTTACTGGGTAAACACGGCACCATATTGTCCCATCCGCCGCTCGCATCAAATCCGTCCGCTCTGCATCCCTGGCACGCTCTGCGCGGTGCTATGTTTAGCCCCCTGTTTGACTCGATCAGCGGTATCAGTGTCAGTGACGCGCGGATTGGACTACCGGCGCGACAGACTGTCTAAGATGGGTCGATGAGGCTGGGGTACTGCTGTGACAGACGGTTAACCCGCGCCGGGCCGGTGCTCTGAGATTCCGCGCCGGGCCGCGGGGGGGTGTCTGAACACCCCCCCCCCCTTCTAACTCGGCTCCTGGGCCACGTAGCGACACGCGGTAAGCGGTAATCGAAAGAACGTCAAAAATAAGGACGAAAACACTTCGGTCATTTTTTGGGTCAGGTCAAAGGTCAGGTCACCAGAGGTCATCAAAGGTAAAATGTTGACTATTTCAACATTTTGGAAACTGCCAACGGCTATCTCGGGAACCGATAGAGCTACAGCGCCGCGGAAAAGCGCATTTGATAGCCCTTTTACAGACCTTTCTGAGTAATGTTCTCAGATTTCACCTCAGGTCAACGGTTTAGCCTCCAGAGGGCAAAAACTCCAAAAATAGCCGTTTTTACGAAAAACGTTTTTTCGGCAATAACTTTTGACTCAAAAGAGCTATGACATTACTTTTGCCAGCATCGTGTTCCTCTCGTCGAGACGCGTCGATTGAACTATAATTTGACCTTGAAAGGTCAACTTGAAAATTTGACCTCAGGTCAAGGTCATGACCTGACCGGAAAAGGTCATGTTGCATATCAGTCGATCCGCAACGTCGAGCCAAACACATCTAAGGCGTTTTCAGCGCTCTAGCACGCCTCTATCAGAAGTTATCATCGAAAAACTGTTAGATTCTATTCGTGACCTGAGATGACCTCGGGGACATAACGAGGGGTTACAGTTGCCATTTTCTGGTTCAGTGTGTCTATTTTACCTACATCTCGATGTTGGAGAGTGTCTAGAATAGCGTTCGTGCAAAACAGACGCTTTTCAATTTTCTCCCATTGACTTATAATGGAGAGGCCGCAAAATTGACCTGACCTTAGGTCACCGATATCAAAATTCCGAGATATACATTTTATAGATAGTGTTGCTCTAATCAATCGCTGAAAGTTTCAAGGCAATCGTTCAGTCGGTGTAGCTATGACGAGCATTCTTATTTTTTCTGAGGTGAGGTCACTTGGCGTGATCTGGTGACCTGACCTAAGGTGACCTGGGTCTGAAATTTTCACAACATGTGCGGAAAAGATGCACGAACAGGTGTGCCAAAAACGGCGGCGCGGAGCGCCGCCGTTTTTGAGATATCTGCGAAAAACCACAAGGGGGGGTGTTCAAACACCCCCCCCCCCGGCCCGGCGCGGGTTAAGATGAGACAGATGGGGCTAGGGGTACCGGCGTCACAAACTCCTACAGATTTCAGGCGTCTACGATGTTGTCCTGACAACCTCGTAAAATTGTGTTTGAAACTGTGCTTGTGTTTCTTCCAGAAAGACAGCAGGATGACTTATGAAACGGGACTGTCAACAATAGGCAATATCCTGCAGACTGATATCGTGTGGTCATTTATTACCTTAAATCGTTTTGACGCCGCAATGGCGATTGATCAATCACTTCACGTCTAATTGAGACGCCCTAATGATATCTGACGGCTGAGCGTGGGCGTTGTTTACCGGTTTGGGTCGCGGCGGGGCGGGTTAACCCGTCTGGGTCGCCGCTGCTGTCTCGCCTGTCACGGGTGACAGTCTGCCCGGGGATGGTGTCAGCCTGTCGCGGCGCCGGCAGTGCGACCCGGCAGTGTCCCCGGTCGGCCCCGTCAGGCCGCCCCCGCACCGTTTCCGGCGGTCCGTGGTCTGAGAGCCCGCCGACCGCCGCCTCTCGGTCGCCGATGGTGGCCGACTGAGTCGTAATGACCGCGTTATGTTCCCAATAATGACCAGTCCGAGAGCGCACTGCGGTCGCTGAGCGGGGTCGTGCAGTGCCAGCGCTGCAGAGCCGCGGTATAAATGTCGACGGTCGGCCGACACAACACTGCGCTACGTTCATTCGGTGGGCGCTCGCGTGAGGGTTTTTTTGCGCTACCAGTTCCGCGATTCGGTCGGCCAAATAGTGAACTTGATCCAGCAATGACGCATTACGGTAGGCAAGAACATAGGTCCGGGCAGGGTTCAAGAATAGCTCCGCGTCATTGCTATGATTGGCTATGGAGGATAATGATACAGCAGAGTTTAAAGGGGGATGAACATCTATGAGGACAGACCCTGTGTTAGAGCATTTAATCGAAAATTAGCGAGGTCGTTGTGGTTTGACGATACGGGTAGGTACCCATCAAATGTTATTGTGTCCGTACAAATAAAATGTATCGATATATGGAAAAATAACGGTATCATGGAAGTCACCAAAATAGCTTAACATGAAAATATACGAGAAATGCATTTGCTTCTTTCATTGACAGGCTGGCCTGACTTGTTTCGAAAGTTGAACTGTAATTTTGATACTCTATATATCCGGATCTGAAATTGTATCACCATTCACCAGCTATATTGTTCGTGTGTTTTTCCTTTGTTAGCGCCTGTATTTTAATCCAATGCCACGCAGTAGTAATCTGAGCCCCGGCGGCCCGGCGGCGTATGGTTCGACTATTGACCTGTGGCCGGTGACGTCATCGGTGCCGGATTTGGCGCTGGCACCATATCGGCCCGCCCCGTCAGCACATCGTGAGAGGCTATTGAGGCTGGGCGCCTCAGTGGCCAGTGCCACTAATAGCGGCCGCACACTGCCGACTGAGGCAGACGACCCTTCGTGCGTCCTCATCGTCCGTGCAGCCGCCACGATGATTCGTTATAGGCGATCTAATGATTTCATTTAGATGCAAGCGCTATATTTTATACTGAGGTTAACGTTAAGTTACCGTTCAAATCAAATGCGTATCCGTTCAAATCAAATAATGTAATGTCACCATAGTTCCGCAGTAGGTATGTACCATAAGTCACAGGCCGCTCGACACACGCTTGGCAGAGCTCAGGTATCTTTCAGCCCGCGTTCAATTTTTGCATAAGGTGTAGTTAGATGAATACCATAACGCGCTTATTAGGGTGGTCCTTATTTCCATACAAAATTTTAATTTGTATTTTTTCGCGTTTGCGCCCCCTGAAATGATGCCATTTGTCTAGAAACGTGGAAAAAGAGCAAAAAGAGCGAAATCGGCGGATGCTTTTTGGTGGCTCAATGCATATTAACCCTCGTATGTGTAGGGGGTCGGATGGACCCCCATGGGTTTTCGCGAATAACTCACGGAAAAGCGGCCGATCACGACGAAACTTTCAGTGCCCTCGAGTTGATTAATTTTATACTTACTCTGAAAATTTCATGACCCTGACCCAAATGACCTTTGACCTGTGACCTATCTTTCGAGACCATGTTTGGCCGGAGTCGCGATTCAGCGTATGTCAGCTCTCATTATCCGCGCGTTTCTAGTCTTTTTGCGATTATAAACGTCCAAACATGTGAAATGATGTTCGTCCCATGCATTACGGTGGGTGTCAAGGTCACCTGAACGTCAGGTCAGGTCATTGACCTATGATGACCTCGTGTCACTTTTCCGAGTTATACATGTTTCTAGGGCAGTTTTTCGGACTGATTTCGAATTTAGCATCCATTTGAACATTTACGAAGTAGTTTTAGTGCCTTTGTAACGTGTTACGACGCGATCAGTGGTAGTTGAGACCTACTATGGGTAGCCGGCAGGACGCGTAATGGTTGACCTGACCTGACCTGACCCGACCTGGTCTAAATGCATGAAGACATCATATGTGATCAAAACTAGCATGAAATTCGTGATCAGCACCCCAAAAAAACATGATAGCTTCGCTGTACGAAGCTCTTGTAGGTCCCGATTTTCCTGACCATTGGGTCATTGACCTGACCGGGAAGGTCAACCAATGACCTAGGACCTTAAATTGGATATCATCGGCTTCCGCTCGTCACGGGCAACACGCTCGTTTTTTTTTTGCGCAAAGCTCTAGCGCGATCTGGAGCCAAACGGCAGAGGGGTCCAACCGACCCCCCTCCCCACCCACACACACACACACGTCAGACGTTAGACGTAAGCGGAAAGTTGCGGCGTGATGACCGTGGTTCGACCACGCTTTCGGGATGACAGAGTGCCTGTACCCATGCTGGGGCCAGGTCTCACG